TTACTTACGGGTACCCCAAATATAATTCGTGGCAGAACTCGGACTGGAATTTGATCCATGAAGACGTATGTGCCGAGGATCTTCAGTTTTCCTCGGGTCACGAAGCTTCTGTTGCAAGGGGAGGGGAGGGGGGTGGAGAGAGGAGCTTTTGTAAGGACGGTCGCAAAGTGTCACGTTTCACAAACGATGATCGCCGTTCGCCGACACGACGCTTGCGAATTCGAGGATCGCATATTCGCCGATGTTGCTTCGCACGTGTCTCGATACCGAACCCGGATATCGGCGGTGACCGGAAGCCGCCGCCGCGATGCAAATTCTTTGTGCTTAGAATTGGAAGTCACAGGAGTGTGAATTTTAATATCATCGCCTGGTGGGAAAAGCCGCCGGCGGGAGGTTTTTCGCGCGAACGGACGCGGGAATTCTCGCGCGGGATACACACCACGGCGCGCACGCTTCGCCAGATCTTAATATCTTGTCGAACGTCCCTCGTGCCTTCGCGGTATTTCGGCGGGCGTATCCTTCGGATTCTCGAGACTACGTCGCCGACCACGCGAAATGGACGGGGCGATTTCACGCTGGACGAGACGCGATTTTATTCGGCCCGCGGATTCCGCGTCGACCGGCCGAATATTTCGTGCGTTATGTCCTGGCGTCAAGACGCGAGCTTTTGAGAGGAACGCAATAATCTGATGTAACCAATAATTTGATAAATGTACACACACACGGGTGTCCTAGCATAAGAAGAATACCTAGATATCTTGGGAGTTTAAATATGGGGACCTTAAGAAGTCGAAAAGTGATCACAAAAAATTCCACGATATTTTATTTTCGAAATTATTCAAATTGTGCGCTTTAAATATTTCTCATCGTTAAAAACAAAGGAGATATTTAGAGGTGTTCTCCTTATACCGGTATACTCTGTATATTTGTTAGTTCAGTTTTTAGACAAGAAGGGGACTTGGTTTATAGTTTTGACCTTACTCATTCCTCTATACACTCTCATATACTCTAATACTATAATATTATAGTATTATATATAATTTTCTGTATGTAGGGGAAACCAGAGTAAGTTGACTAATTGATTATCTTTGCTATTTTCTAACAAAATCGAGGAAGTAGAGATTTCATAACCGTCTTTGACATATTTTGAATCTCTGCTTGCTCGATTCTATAATCTGTTAGAAAGTAGCAAAAACAATCGATCAGCCAACTTTCACCCCTTTAACCGACTTGTCCCGGTCTCCCCTAATCTATACCGCATATCCTTAAATTTACATTGCTTTTCATTTAATCAATTTTCTTATCGATATTTTCATTATACAAATCTTTCATTTCTATATATTTTCTTTACTACTACTTACTTATTCTATTTATTAAACTGTTCATTTCCCTTACAGTAACGCTACGAAAACCAGAGTAGTAAAATTAACTTGAATGATAAAACACGTACGACGATTCTGCGTCCTTATTCTGTAGCTTTTAACGCACGCGTTACAAATCTTTGCGCAGACAAAATGACGAAATAGCTGCGCAACGATGCGTTAACGATGACGAGATTCTTGTTACAAGTTACGAAATAAGGAAGTTAATCGTGATGAACTCCCGATGGCCGATCGTTAAGGAACACGCCGAACCCGTTGGCCGGGATCGCTGAAACGGAAAAGGTTAATATATTTCCAGTCGCGAGGGTTAAGATTATTAATGATAAAACACGATGGTGTGTTGGTGGTCGGCGGAAAACGTACACACACAAAGATAACCGTTCGTAATTCGTTAGTACGCGGCGAGCAACCCCGCGAGTCTAATCACTGGAGGCATGGTGCGAATATAATAATTTTAATTTGCGCCTTATGCGCCTCCACGTTCTTGCCCCCTCGTTCTATACTTACCTAATGACGTTCGTCGTTGTAATTATTCGAGACGCGCCGGCGCTAACATATAATTAAAAGTTGAAAGTGACGCGCTTCTCCGCGCGCGGCGAACTATCAGGATGTCGATGACGAGCACGATGCGAGTCCTCTCCTCCTCCCCTCGCTGTGGGAAGGGGGATATGAGCTTCGTTAAATCTTAATTCTAATCTTCTCGATTCGCGGGTACCTTCTCCCCCGTGTGTGAATAAGTTCGAAGGGGAAAAACGCGGAGTTTTCTTTTTTTTTTTTTTTTTCTTTCGTCGAAGAGGCAGAGATAAATTCGCGTGATTTTCCTGACGAATTTAGTAATCCAGACAATATAACGTCTAAAATCGAGGACGTTTTTAGGACGTCTTAAAGATATCTTTCTGATGTTTTGTGTGTCCTGATTTTAGACGTTACGTTGTCCGGGAAGTGGCGTTATATTATCGTTTATATCTGCATATACTATACGCTATAATTTCTCCTTGCTTGTGAAAAATTTATATGTATATTTACAGTGTGCGCGTGCGCGCATATATTTTGTAAAAATTCTTTATCTCTCACGTTCGTGAAAACGCGCGATCGGCAAGTCAGATTTTCCGCTTAACTTCGGGCGCAAGGCTGACGCTGTGCGCGCGATAGATGGCAGCACCGGCAGCGGGAAATATTTCGAGGGCCGTTGGGATTTGAAAAATCCCGACAATCGATATAATATCGACGTAAAGATTTCCGCTGTTTCGCCCGGTCGGTCCGGAGAATGGCAGCGGCGTGGAGAACGACGGGAGAAGAGATGCGCCTCGGCAACGGGAAAGCGAATAACAACGCAACGAGCGGCGGGCCGTACCGACATCGGCGATCGCGTCGAGAAACGACGTCTCGCTACCACGAGGACGAGTTTCCGAGCAATACGAAATCCATCCGTTCGAGGATGAATGCGGAGAAATCCACGAACAATGGGAGGTTCGCGAGAGAATTGATACAGCCGGGAAAGCTTCTTAAGTTAATACCTCGTGGCCGCTGCTGACAAACAGTTTTTTCCCTTTCATCGAGGGATATATCGCGGATACGATCGGTTCGTCGTCTACGAGAGTTTAGAAGGAGGTACAATTCGCTGATTCTTACGTTCAGCGTTGCTCGACGAAAAATTTGGTGAATGTTGTGTGATTGCCGAGAGATGCATTCGTAGAATGTGAACACTTTATTTGCCCGGTTATTAATATACGAAGCAGCAGATATTATGTAAACTTACGCGTGTGATAAAGTTACTTGTGGTTTGTGAAAAATAATACAACAGAAAGCTTTTCAACGAGAATATAATTTATCGTAGCCGGTCAAAACGGTTATTCAATTCGTTGGAAGTTGTACGATAACAAAGTAAGGTTGTGTACCTTCAGAGTTGATTGAACAATTTTTTTCATCATATTCCTGTCAAATTTAATTTGTTTAACGGTAAAGTTATAGTTACAGTCAATCTCATGGATATGATTTCATCCAATAGAAATAAATATCCAAGTAAATAAGTCTCGTCCTTCTCAGATATAATAGGTACAAACATTCCAGAAAGATATGCACAGCGAGTCAACGTAGTTCACCAGGATTCTATATTCTACCCCTACTCTTCCCATCGCTATATCAATGTGGCGTCAGTCCTGGTCAGGACGCAGCCTTGCTTCAGTTTGCCTCCAGACGTGCTATCGATGGTACCGTAGGTTCAGTCAGTATCTTAACAAAGGAATCTGATCAATTTAGTGGTGTGGAATCAATATACTTGTCGGAATCATAATAGGTCCTTGTAGATTTAACAAACTTGGTGGTTCCTTGTGTTAGACTCTCCGCCAAAATGGTATGTACTCTGCCTCTTTTCTTTTGACTCAGGTAAATGTGCAGTCGAGCGAGCTGATTCGATATGACAGCTTCTCATTTCATATTTCTTCCCTCCTAAAGACCCGGATCAAATTTCCACGCTTATTGGAGAGCTATTTCTCCTGCCCCCAATAACTGTACAACAATGGTAGATGTTGATATGAGAGCAGGTTTATCTACTTATAAATTGTCATAAACCAATAATTTATCATCTGATAGGTTTTTATATGTATATGATATAAGAATCTTTCTAAACTCAATGAATTTACATATGTGCAGTGCATAAGGGTAATACTGAGTGTTTCATTGTGATTTGTATAGTGCGGTGTACATTGCATTAATGTAAACAGTGATCATTTCTTAATCGTGTGTGTAGAGGATTAAATCTCCTGTTGAAATAGGTTAATGCACATTTCCCCTTAGGTCAGAATATGGTCCTTATGAAATCATATTTCTATAGGCTTGCTGTAACAAAGGACAGGCCCTCGAGGCATATAATGATCTTTTCTCAGGCAGGTTACCTCGCATCATACAGCTATTAATATTTTTCCACCCTGTTAGAACTCAATTTCATTTAATAGAGGATATCGGAGTCAAATTTAGACATTTTCAGGTCTGACAAGCGCATTCAGCGTATTGCATTATAGGTTTACGATCAATACCACACAAATGGTCTGTTGCGCAGACCAATAGGGGTTGTACATACATATATGAACACATAGAAACGCATCCCTCTGCGCAGCCTGCCAGGAGATGGTCCATACCTCCTATATACTATGCTCCACCCTTAGACTTCCTAACAACGGAAAAAACTCCCTTAGCTGCTTAATTGAGATATGACTCACCGCAGAGCTGGATCGATCCAGCATCCCAGGTTTGCTGGCTCTTTGTTGGTACGCTTACCAGCTCTGCCTTTTACAGAGATATAACTACGCTGAGATCAATAATATTTAGCTGACATATTACAGTGTCAAGAAAAAAAAAGTGTCAAACATACAATTTTTATTTTTGCTATTTAAAATTCTATCTGAAGTCTACTTTTCATTTCAGCAAAATCTGATTAATTAATTAATTGAAGATTCTTACATACAACTACTCTATGTGTGTGTGTGTGTGTGTCATTGAATCCAAGTGAAATATTTGTTGACAGGTGTGCATTCTTTCAAGTGCGCATCAACGTTTATATGGTTATAGGGACACAATTTCATGGCAATTAGACTCACATTGGTTGATTTTCTGTTACAGGTTGGGACTAACCATGTCCACTAAGAGGCATCGTGGGCGAAAATCAAGTGTAGATCATAAAATAACACATGAAGGCCATAATAGATAGGATGAGCGCATCTCGGCAGAGTGAAGCGCGTTGCTTTAATGAGAACTCTCCCAGGCCGCCAGTGCCAGGTAAAAAGTAAAGCAAACTTGAATCGAATGCGATAGCAGGGACGACCCTGGCGCACAAATGAAATTCGCACACGGGAGAGAAAGCCACGCGAGACTGCGACTACATGCTGTTTTTTTTTTCTTTCTTCAGGAGAGGAAACCGGAAGTTATGTCAGCAGGATCCGTCCACAGAGTCCCGCTCTGACACCTAGACGTTCTTCATTCGCAACACCAACGGTGGCCGGTGGTTGCGATGCTTCTGCACCATTGGGATTCGAGCCGGAGGGTTGTTGCGGAACCACTACCATGGAGAGCGTTTCTCCCCCTGCCTATGTACGGTGGGCAAGAAATCTGCACTCCCTGCTAGAGGATCCGGTCGGTCTGGAGTTATTCAAGAGGTACCTGGATCAGGAGGGGCATGTGGAACCGCTCAATTTCTGGTTCGCCTGCGAGGGCCTCAAGGAGCAGAAGGATACGGAGAAGATATCCCAACTGGTCAAGCTCATATACCGGAGGTTTTTTCTCAAGTCTCAGCTGACCATACCGGAGGATGTGATGAAGGAGGCAGACCGGCGGGTCAAGGAGGGCCGCGCCGATCAGAAGGTGTTCGACATCGTGCAGCTGGAAGTGGAGCGGCTGATCAACGAGACGACGTACCCCAACTTCCTGCAGTCCGAGGTGTACCTGCAGTACGTTCAGTCCTGCCAGAATCCCGACTCGGGCGGTTGCCCGAGCTCAGGCTCGAGCCGCGAGATGTCCCTCTCGTGCGGCCCGAGTTTACTGCCCACCTTGCACGAGGACAGCGAGTTTGTCGGTTCCATGCACAATTCGCACTCGGCCAGCGAGACGCCCGGTGAATTTAGGGAATTAAGATTGACCAAAGATATCCTCATGGCCACCCAGCAGAGCAGGGCGATGGATGTGCGGCCGAAGCCGGAGATGTACGCCGGGTAAATGCGCTTTCCGTACAACACCTACTCGAGCCTTTTCTTTCTCGTCCTTTTTTAATATTCCAACATTCACATCGTTCACGATACAATAATGCGCTTCGAATTCAGCCCTGCGATGAATGCCTTAACAAACGCTGGTATTCTTTGTTTTTTTTTTGTTTTTTTTTTCTGTTCCTTAGAAGCTTGATGTGATGACGTTTGCATAATTCAGATTCCACCTTTTGCGTTTTACATTTTGTCGTTGGCACTGNCCCCCCCCCCCCCCCCCAGGATATATTTGATATAACTTTGTTATCACCCCGACTACCGTACCTTGATCGCTCGTTTCACAATTTCTGTACAATTCCTGCGAATTGTTATCCGAACATCTCTCTGTTATGCGAGATAATCCTCGTTTTTCTTTTTTTATTTGCCGTTCATTTAGTTGTTTTCGTTTTGCTGTTTTTGCGTGGCATTTGTAGCGTTTACTTGCAACATGGGGCTAGTCCGTATCACATGCACGTATCCAGATTGCACGCACAATATTCCTCCTACAACCCAGTATCGAGACAGGATTCAGAGCTTCAGAGTTTGAGCAGTGATGCACGTACCGAGGTGGACAATATGTCCCTCACCGACGGCTCCGTGTAAGTTATTTTTTGAATTTTTTATTTCACATTCTCTCTCTCTCTTTCTCTTTCTCCTCCCGTCTCCTTCAGTTTTGTATTTGGCATCCCAGAGTGGGATTTCCTTAAATATCATCTGAATCTTTCGTGTTTCCGACTCCTCACCAACTCACGTTGCATATTCATCCTCTATTTACTTCGCCCACAGCGACGGATCGAGCAGTAGACAGAGGAGCAAAAAGCAATACGCGAAGCAATCTAGGACAATTAAAGAATCCGCAAGCGTGAATCGCGACCCTATGGCGCATCACATCGTCCCGCGGACTCAGCGCGTACCATCCCACCTGTCGAAGCCGATGACGGAGGAGCAATTCGCGGAGAAGCTGCGCGAGAAGCTGGAGATCGTGGCGCGCGAGAGGAAGACCCAGGAGAAACTGGACAAACACCTGCAGGAGGACGACTTGATGAGCGGGAACGACGCCTCGTTGGAAGCGATCGGTAACACCCACAAGACCCTGGGCGACGCGCTCAGGGAGAAGCTGTCCATGGAGGAGGACAGCGATCAGGCGATCCTCGACGAGCACGTGTCGCGCGTCTGGTCAGACCTGACGCCCTCGCGCTCCCCCCGGCTCTCCTCACCCAGGATACACTCGCCCGAGAGGCGACGGGGCCCCGTGCACAATTACCCGCGGCCCTACAAGCAGAGGAAGGAGAAGGATGTGTTCTCCACGTTCTCGGTCGACAGCGGCAATATCCACGACTTCCAAGAAGGCAGCGACCTCGTCGGAGCTGGCTCCATGAGTTCTCTAGGCTCGCACCTGCCCAAATCTAAATCCGTGCCATCCGATTACGCCGATTCCCTCCATAAGCAGGATATGTATCTTCAAGGTATGCGGTCGAGGGAAAATACGTGCTCGGGGTATAATCGGGGTTGCCATCAGACTTGGGAAACCGAGATAAGTCGTGGAACTTCAAAATGTCAGGGGAAAACCGGGGAAAGATATAAAAAAAGTCTGGAATTTTGAACTTCACTCACAATTCCTTTAAATTCTCTCAACCTTTTTATCCTTTTTTTCTTTTTCCAATTGTCTTTTGCTGGTCCTGAATTTGCTTTCAGGATTATATATTTTCAAGTTTGTGTCGCTTCTAACAATATAAGCTACTTCTCCCTACAATCCCTGCTTCTAAACGTTAAAGTTCAAGACTACACATTGCTCATGGGAAACGCAGGAAAGTCAGGGGATTTCAAAGTTCATTTGAAATGTTACTCGTCTCAAGTATCTCATTAGTTTGATATTTTAAGGCTTACCTTACCTTACAAGGAAATACACTTTATTGAAGATAATCGAAATATTCCAAAGAAGGAAAGTAAATTGAATAATCGCTCTTCTTAGCGGTAAACTTTTTCCATGTCCACATACAATCGACCTTTCACATCATCGTGCAATCACCAGCAGCCTGACGATGCTAACCGACGCTTTTGTCGCAGGTCACGAGCAGCAGAGATTCCGAAGGTCGGACGTGACGAGAAGATCAGCGACGAAGAAATCGATGACGGAGCTGACGGACAGTGGGGTGAGCGTCGTCAGCGACGTGCCGCCTTCCATAAGCAAGGACATTCGTCTGTTGTCCCGGTTCAAGGAAGTGGACAAGAAGGTGGAGCTGAAGCACAGTAGCCGTCACGGCAAGAGGTACGGCTCGCGTAGCGGATCGTTGGAAAGGCCGAACAGAGAAACTTGGAGCGTCGGAGTACCTGCCCAGCCGTTCGTCGCTGACCCGGGAATGCCACCGTTAACGCCACCCCACACGGTAAATCGTCATTCTTTCCTTTTCTGTCTTATTTCCTTTCCCTTCCGTTCTCTTTATTTAATGCAACACTTACGTCTGCCGCAGTCTATACAACTGGAAGAGACGTGTAGAAGGCTAATGGAGGAAAATCGGGCGCGCGCCAGTTGCAAGCAGCGGCACTTGAACGCTTCCAAACAGGCGTACGAGCCCGCGTCGCAGAGTCAATCGTACATGCAGTCTAACCAGTCGACCTTGAAGAAAACTAAGCAAGACGACTTCACCATTGTTGTGTTCAGTTTCTGTGACGAGCAGGTCCCCTACAGGACCAAAATTCCCGGTCACAACGTCACGTTGAAGCAGTTCAAGGAGTATCTTCCCAAGAAAGGGAACTATCGGTACGTGCGTCGTTGCACTCGTCCACCGCTCGATCTCGTGTTAACTTTCAGGAATATTTCAGTGGATAATTCGCTAAATGACGATGATAAGTTATTAGACGACGCCATCCGAGATTCTTTTTTTAAACTTTATGGGATTTTCAGGCGTTGGAGCGACTCATTTTCTTTGCTTCAAAAAAATTCACTTTTTCTTACTCGATTTAAATCTTTCAAAAAAAAAAGACAAATGTTTAACGACTCGAGCTTTAAATGCAAAAAGAAAGATTCAAAGAAAATAGGAAGTAACAATGAGATACTTTAACGATGTTCATCAAGTGAAGAGCTGTGATTTTATCTTTAAGTTGATTTTACCAAGTTTATCAGAAGAAACAATAATTGGTATGAGTACAATTGACTTTTCTTTAAATTGAATATTATTGAACGTTATTCTTTGACTGTTATTCTTAAAAGGTTGGCTAAGTTGTTTTGAAAAAAGAATTTAATTTCTGTTTCTTGTAAAAATTTTTTACTATATCTGAAATACACGCTTAAGACTGAGTTTAAAGTAAATTTTAGGTTATCATATAACTATCAGCTATCATATAACTTCTTTGTTCCTTAAAATTTAAATTTTACTCTTCACTGACTTTTATTATAAGGTCAATGTTTTTCATCTCTTAGAAGAATGCAATAAATAAACAATTTAATTTTTCACGTACAAATTATTTGAGAAAGACTCGTTTCTTACTTTTTTTTAAGACTAACTCACTGTTTTCTTTAAGAATAAAACTCATTTTTCCCACTATTTTCGACAACTAAATCGCTCCCGTGCCTGAATTTTTCAAAACGCGTAAAATGGAAAAATAAGAAAAATAAAAAAAATAAAGAAAATAAAAAATAAGAAAAATAAAAAAAAAATAAAGAAAAATCCTGTAACGGCGCCTTTCGGATTTTAGATCTAATTCGAAGCCAACTAACGTTAGAGTTTGAAACTGAAATTTGAAATTCGAAAGTGTTTTCGAGTTTTATAAGAAACTTTGTATGACATCTCGCCGTAGCATTTTTTCGGAACACATAAGATGAATAAACATTTTCTCTTGAATTGTAGGTACTTTTTTAAAACGGAGTGCGAAGACTTGGACACGAGAGTCATACAGGAGGAGATAACGGACGATGCCGAGGTACTTCCGTTGTGGGAGGGTAAAGTGATGGCGCAGGTTAAGGCGCTCGAGTAATAGACTGAATTTCAAAGGGAGGAGCCCGAGCGAGCGAGCGAGCGAGAAAGAGAGAGAGAGAGAGAGAGACAGAGAGAAATGCGCGAATGTTGACCAAGTGCCGCAATAAATATTATTTAAGAGATCCGACGTGCGACAAGGAGAGAGTGCGCTCGGTAATTTATATGTATACACATTAACGCTTGTCACGCGGCCTCTTTTTCTCGTAATTGCCTAAGAAAGTAGTCTTAATCGATCGAAAAAACGGGGGAGAAGAAAAAAAGGAAGGAATATATCGAGTCGAGCAATACCGCCGCGCGAGTTTGGAGGCTCGCTGCGGGAAAGCAAGCAAGACAGAGATAAAACGAAAGCAACGGCCTCCCGTCGAACTCCGTTGGCACGGACGCCCTCGGAGGACGACTCTCCTCGCCTCTCACTTCCGGTTTATCGTTTCGAGCTCACTTCTGCACTCGTCAAAACGGAGGAGAATGTGTTCTCTTTCTTTCCTCTCGCGGAAGAAAACATTTTGCTGGCACAGCAAACTTGTCAATTACTTACACGGACAACAAGGAAGATTCGTCAAGATTATTAATTGCTATTCGCTTGGATACACGGGCGGCAGGATAATTTAGCTCTGTCAGTCTGTCCAAACGTGTTTTGCCGCGACAGCGAAACTATCTCTCTTCCGTGCGACGTGTCTTTTTTGGCTGTTCGTGTAGTGACTGAGAAAAATTTACCGGCAAAATATCTTCCCGTGATTGGTTCGGATTGCTCTATTAACGAACTTACTTAGCGGATCGCGACAGCGTTTTATTGTATATACGGTTAGCATGTAGAGCGGTCTCGACTACAAACGCAACGTTATACACACACACACACACACATACATTTTGCCGCAGTGCAGCCCTTACGACACGCGGGACTGCCGTGGTTCAGTGGTCACGGATAGCGCACTTCCACGGGGTGGGGGGGGNNNNGGGGGGGGGGGGCAACGACGTGTCCGAGCATCGTGACCGACTAACAATTTTCTTCCTCTCGACGACTTCCCATAGTTTCTCCAGACGACTGTACAAAAGTCCGCGTAGTTGATCGCCTTAGTAAGGTCCGCGTAGGCACTATATAGACTTACGTAGGGAAGGATATTATTACAAATTATGGTCTAAGGGAGGCACATATATTACGTGTATTTCACGTGGCGCCGTGTTGTTCAATACACGTAATATATCTTGCGCACGGGACACGTCGCGACGCATGCGTCCGTTTGATGTGAAGTTTTATTATTTTTTTTATTTTTTTTTTTAAGAGAAATTTCGAGTCAAGTTTTGTTGTGCCACTCTGTTGTACTATCATCGCGTCGTCGCCGTCGTTGTCATTGTCACTTGACACTGTGAGAGATAATCTCACGCAGAACGCAGCCGAATGCGGTGTAAAAAAAAGCGGTGTAATAAAAAGAAGCCGTTCTTACCATTCTGTCGACAGCACGCTATGATTAGCATCATCGAGGCCGGAGAATGCTTTGGTGTGGGGAGAGAGAGTGAGAGAGGAGGGGGGGGGGGAGAAAAAAGAAGAAACACCGAATCATTAGCGTTTAGATTGTAATGATGTTTTTATCAGGTGCGAAAATATGTGCCTTTTTAGTGCGATAAGCCTCGAGATAAGCCTAAGAGAAGGTTAAGAGATATTTATAAATTGCAGAGTACAGGGGCCCAATTTTCTCCAAGCTAAGAGAAGAGAGAGAGCGTTGTTGACACGCGTCGGATGTTGTTTCTATTTCCCTCCTCGAGTCGTGTCCTGATCATTTTTTTTTCTCTTTTTTTCCCCCTTTTTTTCTTAGTGTCAGGACGACACCGTTGCGTCAGCAGGTGCGGTGTATCGTTCGACTCGCGCGCGTTCTCTAGGAGAATCGATTTCTTTCCTCTCGCGCGCACACCGGGCCCGCGCTCGTCACACACGCTTCGTTTAATCCTTTCAGTCTTGGTTCGCCGAATTTCTCGGTTAACTCGCGCGCCGAAAATTCCGCAAAGATTCGCCGTCTCGCGTGGGGATACGATGAATAGTTGTATATGTTGATAAGAGGATCGCACTAATATGTAAAGATATGTCTGATATACATATATAAATATATACATTTGATTCGTCTTTGAATTTGTATAGGAAAGAATGTTCAGTTGACTCGCGTGTGAAAGCCACGGAAAAGGATGAGAGAGAGAGAGAGAGAAGTTCTCGTGTAAAAAAAAAAGAGGAAGGAGAAAGAGAGAGATATTTTCTTGAAAGAATAAAATTCCAGGCTGAAGGGTTTAAATTGTAGAGATAATCGTAAAATGATGTAAGAGGTGAAATCGCGAAAGACACCATTTGCTTGCCGCGAACTTCGATCGACGGTTCGACCTTTATAATTTGTTGGAGCTCGTTTCCTGCGCGCGATCCCTATGGGGGGGAAAAAAAAGATCGAAAGAGAAACATATTACAGCAACGACGTGTACCCCCCGTTCATTTGGAGATTCAAGCTGCGCCGCCCGCGGAAAAACGCGGCGCGCGCATCGCGGTCTCGGTAACGATTTTTACGGTAATTGATCACCATTAATTAATATCACGAATGATAAAGTGTTCCTGTACCTAATTAATTATAATATAACGATTATTATTGTATATCAAAAGCATTGAGTATAATAATAATAATAACGCGATTTTCACTGGATCGACGGACGCTGTTTCTTCAGGATTCCTCGATCCGCAGTCCCCGTTCAGAAACTCCCATTGATTTTCCTAAAGAGTGAATTCCAAGTATTAAGGTGGGTATGCACGAATGAGCGAATATGTAATATGAACACTTATATTCGCGTCTGAACGCCTATACAGAAAAAAAAATTAGTCTTGAATCAAGAATAGATATTCTCAAGTATAAGCGAGAATATCGTAATCTTCTTAGAAGACTCTTAGTCTTGATTTGGTTGAATTTATATTGATGCACGTATTATTTGATGCTTATTCTTGATTTAAGACCAATTTTTTCTGTGCACGAACTCCTTTTGACAAACCACTTTATCAGCATATCGGCTCAAAACGTTTATTTCAAAAGGTTCTTAAAAGTAATAGCATTTTTGCTAGAAAATTCAGGAATTTTATAATTTATATTAAGTTTATATTAAGACTTGCAATACTTGGAAAATCTTCATAATACTAGTGTTGTTAATTATAAAATATCTAAAATTAAAGAACAAATGTGAAGAATTTAATATTCTTCCATTTTATCACATAATTTGTTATTTAATTTTCATTCGATTGTAACCTGTTATAATACGTTATGATATATTGCAGTTCTGATATTTAATAATGTATAGCATGATCGTTAAGACTCGGCTACCCCTCGGGCGGCCATATTGTTTTATGGTGTCAGAAGCGAAAAATGGCATACAAAAAGTTTCTTGCAACATGTAGCTTTATTTTCAAGTTTTTCCTGAGAAACACAATGATCTCATAATCTTGAAATTTGTAAAATGTGCGGAAAACCGAGATATTTGGCCGATATGTTGTGTAAGATCGCAAAATCATTCCTGACATAACGGGTCATTTTTCAGCCAGCTATCACGATCGCCAGAGTATGTTTACGCATGTAAAACTAAAAATTGTGTTACTTTCCGCTCTAAGAAATAATACAGCATGACGGCATTTTCCAAACTGTAACAACGAAAATTTGCAATTACTTTTCGTCCAGTGTATACCTAATTAAAAAAGGGATAATGTACGAGGTGAGAAAGGAAAGATTGAATTAATTTAAAAAATTCAGATATTGGTCCAAAATGTGTAATTTGCACACTAACTTTATTTTATTTACAATAGTGAATAGATCCTTGTCAAGAGTATTTTAGCTTGTTAATTTGATCAGTTGCCGTTTAACAATCACACCTGTTTTGATATTGTAGAAGTTCGATGGTTCAGCATACCTATCCTTCCTTTCTCTCTCTTTCTCTCTCTTTCTTCCGCTCCTTCGAACTTCATATTATATCAAAGTCTCCTCATGACGAAGTTCACGTTCAATTTTGCTCCGCCGTTTGGCAAAACTCACGAAATATTTCCTCGAAATGGCAGAGTATATATTTAACAAATGCATGTAAACGCGTGTAATACAATAAAAAAGTATCGTCATGAATATTGTGTCGCCGAGCAAGTTTATGATTCTGGGTATTCTTTTAAGCGATGCGGGTTTGAACCTTTGTGCACTTTGTGCGAGGATATTTTTATGGCAGCGATCAAGATTAGAAAAGCACGGGCAGCCCGTTGGCTGCGTTTTGACAACCGGTGGATGAACGTAAGGTATTCTTCTCGACGTGATGGGATGCGCTCGCCTTAACGGCGAGGATCACATTCTTGTATGGACGACCGGAGGAAGGAACTTGGCGAATCTGCCGTCCATAATATCCCACGAGATGCGTAACTAGGAAATCAGGAAGATCACTGTGGAGGATAGGCGGGATTGTAAGGCGCCTGTTTAGCGTACGCTTCGCTGGTGTATTGCGGCGGTGGATGTTGCGGAAAACCTGAAAAAGTGGAGAGAGAAATAATTAAGACTTGAATTATCCCAACGAACGCACACCAAGTAACAGTAACTTTACGATTTCCCACTTGAAGAATGTAACTGTTGAACACAACGTGCGTTGTGTTGCACTTATATTGTTGAGAGTGGGAAATTATTACATTGACGCAGTGTTAGTGTTGCTTGGTTCAAGGAACTCATTATCAGCGATATCGCTGTTCAGAAAGTTATGTCGGTAATACTATCATGACGTCACTAATGATAGTGTTTGACATTATAAGTTCACGTTAGCAGCGTTTCCGAGATGTGAGATGTGTTTGTTGACAGCATTGATAGTGTTAAGGTATTCAGAAAAACGTACTGTGATTGGTCAATTTGTTTGCTGCTTACGTTTTTCTGTGTACCGTGGGCTCTTAGCATTTTCGAAGCTCTCTGAACGCTATCGGTAGATAACAACAATGAACGTACACATGGCAGCTGTGTATACTATAGAATTTACGCTGGAGTGTTACATTATAAATCTGAGACATTTTTTATTTAATCACGATGAGGGATACCTTTTTAACACGTTCATTGCCAAGCTGAAAATTGGAATTTCGTATTTAAAAAATTTGTTTTATTTAGTTTTTATTGTGCTCAAAATAAGTTAATATATTATTTATATGCTTTCATTATTATGTACATAGGATTTATGTATTCTAAATATCTATTACGCGATAACGCGTGATTGGCAATGAACGTGTTAAAGCACAAAGTTGTGAGTGTTGGGAAGTCACTTGTTACTTGTAACGCCATTAATATTCTTTTCATTATTTACGTAATTGTAAGAAATGCATACACCGAAAAGTGAATGATTTTATTTAATTTTCGGTCTTTTTTATTTTGACAGTTATCACACGAGCGTCTCTGCTACGATAATGCTTATGATGTTAGCGTTCATAGCGTTGATAGCGGGCTCAACGATTTGAATCATGTTTCACGCAGTTCTGAGTATTTTCGAGTCGCCTGGATGCGATAAATTGTGTACAAAAATCTTGATGTACCTGCTGGGTTCGTCGGATATGGCACGTAGTGATTCTGATTCTCTTGGCTGGCGTAGCTCGGTGGCACGTTCGGCGTTGACTGAACTACATGCACAACATTAGGTGCCTGAACTTCTGGAACAAATACTACAACAGGCACAAAAAGATCCCGGGCGAATCGTAAGATAGGCGCGTTTGTCTCAGAGACAGCAAGCAAATTAACGTGAGGAATTAAATGAAATAAAAAAAAGAAAGGAAGTGAGGAAATATATAAATACATAAACATAAGCATGGTAAACGTAAGTATTAATATCTTACAAATTAGATGAGGAGAGATGAATTGTGATATGTCGACTTGTGTGTCGAATCAAGAGAGAAGTTTGATGTGTATATGGAAAAAAGGTATATATTCTTTTTAATACATTTGTAATATTTAGCAATGTAACACTCGTTTATACGACGAACTCGCGCACGCTTCACCTCGATAAAGTTAGGAGCGCATCGAGTGGTCACGATTGCGATCTTGCGTGATAATCGGTTATGACGGATGTCGAGTGACAACACACGATGTAAATAGTAGCCTTTTATTATATTCCTGATAGATACAATTTTACTATACTTTTGTCCATCAGTCTATCACGGTGTATAATTTACATCGTGTACAAATGGTTTCAATTTGGTTTGAATACGTTTCTTTTTTTTTTTATGCAGTTGATGAACCAATGAGAGAACTTGTTTGTGATTAATCCTCAGAATTTTCTCTTACCTCATGAGACTGTCGGCTACGTTTCCGAACTGCGGAAACTGAGAAAAAAAACGCTCAACTATTCTGAAACCAAGAGTATTGTCGTTCAACTTCTGTCATAATCGATTGCCGTGCCAACTCGTGAACACTATCTCGCAATCGTGGCCGTTCGATGCGCTCTTAACTTCGACTTCGTTCGAGAAAAAAAGAAAGAACGAGCCGTCGTGCGAAAGAGTGTACTTGGTTTCAATGCGGCCTGAACATTTCCAATGCAGTTTGGAACACAGTCGATAGTCTAACGAGAGAGTTTGTTTTTGATTCGCAGAAGGTCTCTCATTGGACCATCAGCTGCGTCTCGAACGATGTCGGGGAAGAAGGGGTATTGAAACCAAATAACTCGCATTCCGAGTACAATAATATCTTTCACAACTTCCAGTATTAGGCGACAACTTTGAGTCTAATAATACCACAAGACGAACACAAATGAAAGGAATGTTTGTTTGTCCGCGCGTATTACATAAATGAATCGTGAGAAATGCGACTCGAGGTATCTATCGTATAAAGTGTTCCGTGTAAGTGTTAATATATGCTTAACGCGCGATACTACCGTGTCTCTCTTAACGGTAATGATTAAAATTATTAAGTATATATGGATGTGCGTATATTGTCGTATATGGTACAAAAATAACGTATAAACTAAGAAACTAAGAAAACCTTTATACAACGAAAACTTGTCAGACACATCTGTTACACGGAACGCTTTGTACACGTACATGTATTAAGTACATGTTCGGAAGACTCTAAATAAGCTTAATACTACACGAAGTACGACCGGAGCCAATGAGGATGAAAAGGAAAGTGACTTATAAAAAACGGCTGCAGTGACTCGATGCAGGCTTTCTTACGCGTCTATCTTGACTTTGTTTCCACCGTGCGAATAAGATCTTATATCTAAAACGGCGGATTCTGCGCATAAAAATGCCACGGTCGATAAACCCAACGCGTTTATCCTGCAACTTAACGTAAAACCTCGCATGTGACTTTCATAATGTGTCTTTCATAAGAGGAACGAAATATAATGCACACAAATGCAACAAAACAGAGATAAAGAGAGAAAGAGAGAGAAGGGGGAAGAAATAAATGGAAAAGAAAATATCACGGCAACGCACGAGCACTTTTATAAGGAGAATCCGCTTCGCGATTATTGTACGCTACTATTATAAAATACGTTCCCCTCGGGAATTGTTTCAATGCGAGGTTACATATAGGAAGCAAGATACAAATAACTGTTAGAAATCTTTCGAACCCCGACATATAGATACTCTTCGTAAGACATTTGTGGGATGTGTCGGAATGGTATTATGCCATGGTTGGTCCTAGAAAGAATTACGATTCCATTACTGGCCAATTCAAGGGAGAAAGAAAGAGAGAGAGAGAGAGAGAAGGAGAGAGAGGTCGGGAATATTTAATTTACACAATACCGATTCATTTCAACACTGCGATCGCGCATATACCTCGTTTCTCGTATTCGCGCGAAAAGTCGTTCATTGCCGCTGTCTCTGACACACAAGCTACATATACATCATCGAGCGACGATTCACTTGATGAAGCGAACGTTAAGCCCGTCTCGGACGATCCACAATTCGCGACGCGCTTGCAATCGCGATCACGTCGTGTCGAATTACAGATCGTCCAAAGTGATTAAATCACGGGTAAATCGCGATCAGTGGCGTAACGTTGATCATTTGGCCGTAAAAAGTAACGATTGAAGAGTGTGTCAGATAGAAAGAGAGAGAGAGAGAGAGAAAGAAAGAAAGAGAGCTTACTTCCATAGACAGTGCCTCGATGACGCCGACGATACCATGGGCAGCAGCTGCAGCAGAGGCAGGATATACAGCACACTATGAGCGAGATGATTATAGCCGCTACGATTATCACCGGCACGACGATACCGAGTCTGGAATACAGTAATGTTACGTTATAGAGACACTCAATCATTTTCCATGACGCACCACTATCCGCTGAGCGAGTCAGCTTTTCAGATAATCATATCGTTAACGTCCAACGCTTTGCCATCTCAGTGTCGCTAGCAGAAAATTGGCACGTAAAACGCAATAGTCCACGTCTACGGGTGGACAATGTAAATTATGTATGATATGTATGATATGGATCTACAGAGGGTAAGTGATCTATGAACCGTTTTGGAACGGCTCGTTTTCTTCTTACATCTTGTATGTATTCCTTTTATATTTGGTTCCCCTTAAAAGTTCACAAAACTTACCGGTGAACTTGAATGGTGAAATTTTTATATTGATAATATATATAACTTTTATATCATTGTAAAGATAATTTAACAATGCGTAAAGTGAATATTTAAATGATAAAATGTGTGTTACGCCTATATATGTACATGTGCCAACTTTTTAATTTTTAACATTAAGAGGTCACTCAACAATTACGTCAAACTACGAGTGAGGGGGCCTATTAGTTTCCGCGACGGCTGTGATGGAAGGGGAGTAATAAAGGCCATGAAACGTCACATTAAGTCCTCGGCCCACTTATTTTCAAGCTGGATCTAAAGAAATCTAGTAACACGTAGAGAAGGAGAGAGAGAGAGGGGGGGGGAGGGGATAATTCCACGTGTCAAGTAATATTAGAAGGGTCAATGTCCAAATACTTCATGACAAAATATGACGAAGGGGGAGGAGGGGTAAAAAAAATACTCTAATTTCTCATGACATAATTGTCGCGAATGGCCCCTTAAATATCTTCAAAATCAACATCAAAATTGGATAAACGAACTATTTTATAGTTTGCGTGTGAACTAATTTTAGACTAATGCAAATTATTCTTTCACTTTGCATTCTGCTACGTCATTTGTAATATTTTGTTACATAATGCTACGTCATTTATAATATTTTACTACAAAATTTAATTTTAGACTAATGTAAATTATCCTTTCACTTTTCAATTTTTAACATTAAGAAGTCACTCAACAATTACGTCACACTACGAATGAGGGGGCCTATTAGTTTCCAATATATATATAATTTATCCTTTAATAAATAAATAACAAAAATGTTACGCTCACGTCGTACTTAAAGACGTAAAGCATACGGAATCGAGCATATCTCGAATACTGCTTTGTTGGATATCACACGAGAGCCGCTGGTAATTCATTGGGAGTAAATTACGGGCGATTACCCAGTTTTCAGTGCGAACTCCTCGGCGGTGCAACAATAGGTTCTTTCATTAGCTATGTCGACGCAGCAATAGGACTTGGAGGGATTATCGAGGAACCCCGGACACGAGTTCAGTGTTTTCTCGATGAAATTCTTGCTCGTTCCAAAGTTACAATCCATCCCTGAAAATCGAAAATCTCGTTGAAGTTCTCTTTGTCGAAACGGTAGCGATGTTTCTATCTACAATGGTCATTATACCCGGCGGACAAAAAAATCATCGACAGAATGTTCCTAAAATGATTCCTAAACCGAAGTTTCTCGATGATATATCAATATCGCACTTGTTTCATAGTGTATTACATGGATCCCAAACAATATGTATGGCTGTAAGGTGTCTCAAAGACATCCTTTAGACGTCTTAATGTTATCTAAAGAGAAAAATAATTTTGCCTTTATAGAGAGAGAACGAAATCATCGTTGCTACTGTACAGTGAGAAGAAAAATAATTTAAAAATTACTTAAATTACTTAAAAATTACTTAAAAATTACTTTAAAATATTAAAAAATTTATTTATGGGATATAAGGTTTATTTCACAGAAATAAGGTTTATTTAAAATTCAAATAATAAGGTTTATTTCACAGAAATATTACATCCTACTAATAAATTTTTAAGTATTTTTTCTCAGTGCATATTCATTGCGACAACGATAAAATTTAATTGGTATAACCAAATTAACGAATTATTCGTAATTAGAACGGGAACAGTTTTGCTGTCAGGATGAAAAATGTTCTGCCGAGTGAATTTTCCTCTAGAACAAAATAGTGTTCACACATATTTTACAAATTTACTAATTAATTTCACCAATTTATTCTTACGGCAAAATCATTTCTAGATTCAGCAGGATAATCCAACGAAAATGGCAATTAGCATTCTTTTAGGAACTCGTTCTGCTGTCCGTAACCGACAGACTTGCGACAGCATAAAATTTGCCGAGCCGGCGAATTATTCTTCGTGTAGAAGTCAGGAGGAGAAAAGTTGAATATCGAAATTAATGATATTCTTTGCCTGGCGCATTCGGTCGCCAGGCACGGCTGCAGTATCCGACTTATGTTATCAATTCGTACTCACAACCCGAGAGCGAAATCAGATACACGTCTACGATTACGCACTTTGTTTCTGAAGGCGAGAGCGTGAGAGTCGCGAGAACTCGCCGTTGGTTCGTGAAGTTATTTCCGAGCGCCCGGACGGTCGATTTCTTTCTCTCCTCGCTATCCGACGTCCCCGACGAGGCAGTCGAAGAGTTTCTCTCACGCGAGATAAACGTTCGAAGAGACGCGCGGAATAGGAGGGTCGATTCCGTCGACGCCGGCCACAAACGCTGATCCTAATTAACTATGCACTGTCCGGCTCGTTCTATGATGCGGCTCCCTGACATCGCTCGGAAAGGAGCAAAAAATAGATTGAACTGTAATAATAGGAGTTAAGTGACGTGTTGCATGTAGGCCATTAGATCGGGCCGCGTAAGTCGCCGCGATCGGCAACCGGCGATCGAATCGCAGATTGAAGGTTTCGTCGGCAATAATGCGCGGCCTTCGGAAGCATCCCGTCTGGAGGGACTGGAAATGGATACCCACACGTAGGAAGCGCTCGCAGTGAATTTCGTTTATCTTATCAGGCGTGATTAGACAGAGTCGAGCGAACAAACGAGCGACAGTAGATTTATTGTTAATTCACATATTCCCCAGTTACTCGAGAAACTTCGAGAATCGCGCCGAGTAACTTTCGAAAGCCGAAAGGGTGCACACATAAATGGGAAACGATTTTCTAGTTATGTTGATTTTTGTTAATTTATGTAAGTTATGTTGATCCTCATGTAAAGTTGGCTCTTGTTACAATTTTCAATGTACCCGTTTGTGTTGTTCCAACATATATCATGCTTGTGTTATCTCAATATTCTTTGTACTGAGTCGATATTCGACATGTGAAAGTGTTAAAATATCTCGTTTAGGACAATGTGTTAAATTCAACAAGATTTTCTCACTGTGTACACTGAGCGAACGAATAGCAGGCTTTCGTTGTTACAATTTGGGCAATGTGTAATATATACAGTAACAAATGTCGCGTGAAAAACAATTCATTGAAATTTCGTGTTACTTCAGGGTGCATATGCCAACAAGATGAATGTGAATAGGTGAATGTAATGTTAATTTAATTTTTCACCGCGATAATTTCTTACTCATCGAATCCGAACAGGATTCGGGCCGATTTGCTCAAAAAGCCGGGTGTGCAGTTGCGGACAGAAAAGTTGCGACGCTATTTTTAACAAGTTTCGGAACACATCTTGTGTCCAATAAGAGAGTCCGTTTTTTGGTTATTCTCAGGAGATGCATTTTCCTATTGTACTCGAGATGCGTTGTGAAACTCATAAAGAAAAAAGAAAAAAATAGTATAACTTTACAGTCCACGACTGTACACTGAGCGAACGAAGTGCGATCAAATGCAAGATTTCATTATTCGGACGATGCATACGAACGCAGCGTTTCGGGCCGCTTTTTTCATAAGGTGGTTTACCAAAGAAATTCAGTAATATACACATTCGCTGTTCGCTCGCTCAGTGTATACCCACCTTAAGGCGATTCGTCAGTCAAGTTCGCATTCCAAACGCGATACGTACACATTCACACTATACATTCGCTATCGTTTGTTGTTCGTTCGCACAATGCATACCCGTCTTGGGACATTGACTCACCGTTTCACAAAACACCACTTGTGCGCGTATCTGAGTTTAAAAACGTCGTATCGTTCGGCACGAAAAATGTCTGAGTCTCCATCTTTCGTCCCAAGAGACCTGACTTCGCGATCGCTCTCGGTGTCCTTTGAACTGCGCGAGAGATATCTAGTCGATGGCGAAAAAAAAATCGCAACACCCATATCTTGAGGAGATTCGGAATGAATATTACTTGATAAGGATGACATTCCGAGAAAGTGACGAAGTAAAGCAAACAAATTCTTCCATTAGATTGCACCACGAAGCATTAGGAGCTCGTGATCTTCCTGCTACCGATTCTATTAGCAGAGTATACTCATACCGATAAAAGAATCCTGATATACACGATCGGTATTTGATGTGTGCATCAAAAAGCGGCGTCCTTTTTAGGGACTCGTCTATCGGCGAGACAAAAGAAGGGCGACATATATATATATATACACGTGAGAAACCACCGTCTTCGATCTTCTCGCTTCGGCGGTTCGCGCGTTTTCCTGCGATTTTTCTCCTCACGTCTTCCCCGTGCAATTATTCTCCCTCACCCATTCGCTCCGATTTTCGTCACATACTGCGGGGATTATCTCTGACACAACAGCAACGCGGCTGAGAAGAAAGGAGCTCTTCGTTTCACGAGAAGCACGCGCCACTCCCCAAAGCAGATTCGATCACATCTCTCTCAGGCGCACGCCGGGCGATCTCTCGTTTCGTCCTTACCGTGAGCGAATCCTGCGTGCAGGCACAGCAACAACAAGGCTCCCGCAAACCGCGACATTTTGCGATCGGCAAGTCTCTCGGCGCGTTGCTGACGACGGCGAACCTCGGTGACGCGATCCTACGACGACCGAGTGCAAACTACGAATGACTAAGAGCCGTGGATGACGAGAACACAGAGCCCGATCAACAACCTGCTAAACAGTGCCCAGGTGGGCCGGTTCCTCGCACATGCGCGTCGAGCGACGATGACGTATCCAGGAACGTACATACGAATCGAATATGGCGGGGGCGAGATTTGAGCGGGTCTGGCGGGCAAAGTAAATTAAAGGCCAGTAAGGCCTGGTTGCAACAATATTTTATATTATTTATGTTATTTTGGTTTTAAGTGGGACTTAAACATCCCTAGTAGCACATTAAACTCAACATTGGCCAATGAAACGCCAATGAAATTAATTTGGCGTTACATTGGTTCAATATTGGCCGATGTAATGCTAGTGAAGTATGCTGTCAGGAATGTGGCTATCGTTACCCTTCTTTCTAAATAAATAAAGACAGACAAATATTTAAGTCTTCCTTAAAGTCTAAATAACGTCGGTACAACCGGACGCCTATTTAAGCACTTAAGACGAATAAATAAATAAGTTGCGACGTTATTAAGATAAATGGAATTATTTATTTCCTGCAATAATTAGTGCATTATGTGGATTTTAACGTTTCAAAGGGGCTATTAAGAAACAAGTTGGAGGATTTTGAAGGTAACAGAGCATTCTTTTCTGAGACTTAAGCACTTTACTGGAGTTTTTTTGTTGTACATGAGTAAAAAACGGGCCCACCTGAGAACACTGAACACCATCTGGTGTGATGCATCACGTATAAATATGCCGATGATGTCATACGTCGGCAATCATTCTAAGATGTCACGACTATGTCGATCCGATTAAATTTATCGCGAAGTATTGACTCGTAATTAGGTTCAATGAACAATAATATCACACACTTCTTCACATTATATATGTGTGTGTGCGTGTGTGTGTGCGTACGTGCGTGCGTACGTGCGTGTGTTGAATTATGTTGTATCATAACTTATCATGCTTATAACAAATTAATGAAGTAATTAAAATATAATATTTTTATATTTTATTTAATCATCTTCCTTCAATTTTTTTTTCAGCAAAGATCCAAATCTGTAGAAATTGAAATTTTTCAATCGGCTGACATGTCGTTGACTTATAATCAATATATAACTAGGTTCGAGTATTGATTAAGTTATCCGAAATTCAAAGAGCACTTTTAACGAATCTTCTAACGCAGCACCGCTAGATGGCGTCAGACGGTCCGTTGGCTATCCTGAAATATTTTTTCGTTGAAATTTGTACACTACCGTTCGTTGTATGGTACCAGAGTCCGTCTCGTCGTTTCGTCCACAATTTAATAAATCCAATTTTAATGGAATGTAACGTACTTTAATATACTTTAATACAACTATTCAATACAATGCAATATAATATACTTTTGCAACTTAATACAATATAATTTCAATGCAATATAATTGTATAATTTAATAAAATATTAAAACGCTCAAACATGTACCTATCTTTTTCGATGTAGATTTACCAAATCAATGTGCTCATGACATTATATAAAGTATATAAGGGTTATAAAATTGGCATTGTGGGTTGTCAAAACACAATACGCCCAATCTTGGAAAGATTTCGAAATAATAATACGAATAGATTTTATTTCGTAATTCCTTACAATTACTGCCAATAAACTATTTAGTATTATTTCCATCTTATAAATAACCATTATTAACATATTATTGCAAGATCAAAAAAGTCAGTGTAAAAACAGATATTTAAAAAATAATACAATAACAATAAACCGTGTATACCTTTGTATGAAATTACTTTACCAAAAATAAATGCTACAAGATCAAGATATCACGAAAGATATAACAAACTCGAATAGGAAACATTAATGCCTCGAATCCTCGAGTCACTCGTTATTAATGAGTTCACCAACAATGTGGCCCATGTCTACATCATTCTTCAATACAAACGAATGGTAAAAACCACGCTGGCATAACTGAGCATTCAGATTTGGATGTTTTGTCATCATGTTTTTATAATACCTGACTGGGACCCAGCCGTCAATAGTGCCGTAATAAAACCAAAGTTTATCACTATACTTCGATATAGTTTCATGATCAGCCTCTTTGATATATTTGAGCTCCTCTTTGGCAAGATTAATTATTCTATACAATACCCTGGGATCCAGCATTTTCTGAACTACCTTGTTATATTTCGCTGGGATGCCATAAAAGAAACTAAAGACACTTATCATAAATGTTTGCAGGAATGATGGGAATATTGTTGTAAAAAACCAAGATAAGAAGATCCACAGCGGTGCCACGCGTGATATCTGAAAATGAGGAGATAAATATTTCAAACTGTACAAAGTAACCGTGATATTTGTAATTCTTTAACAGTAGTGATAATAGTAATAGCAATTCAATGGGCGGAGCAACCGGTGCGCCTAAGGTCATTTAGATTTAGAGATCTATTGTACAACCCCCCACTCTTTCTTTCAGCTTAGATCCTGAGCTGCAGCCTCTTATCAGAGGCCAGGTCTATCAATTCATTAGTTCTTGTCTGTCGAAGTTCCTCGGGCTTTAAAAAAGCCTGGCCTCATAATTTATATTTTTTGCAAGCTAGAGCCAGACAGTGACATAAAACATGCGCGTTGTTCTCCCCATTATAGTCGCATAGTCAATACACGTTTGTAATACTTCATGAACGTCATAAATATTGCGGCAATAGCTAACATTAGATATACAGATACTTGCGATATTGTGAAAAATCCTGCCATTGCGAGTCTCCGCCATGTATTCTATCGTTGGGAACAACATGTAGCACTTTTTCACTCTCTTGTTGATGTCAGGATCCCTCAGCAAGTTGAGCAGAACCCAAGCACCTATGGAATGTCCAATGAGATACAGCTGAACGTCTTCCGGAACATAGGTCTTAATGAATTCCGCCTGTGCCGCAAATATCAACGTCAAAGATATGCATGGGAGATAATATAAGTAAGGAATAAAATCCATCTGTAAATATGCAATATACCTTGTGCTGAACTTGAGCCGTCAAACCATAATGATCCCGCCACTTCTTATTACTGGGCATAGCGATGTCCAGGTTCTCCGGTGGCTGAACATGTCCAGCATGACCGACGACCCACACAGGTGTGTCGAACGAAAGTTTCGAGTTGATCGCCTTGATGAAGCTCTCATAAAAGCCAGGGAGACCCGGATTTCCCGTTATTACCAACACTACCTGCTTGGTGGAGTGAGGTAGAGGCTCTTCCTCTATCCACCGGCCCTCGGTTATCACCTCGGTCTGCACCTGGTTACAGTTCACCATCGCTCCTCGCATTTTTCTGCAGTTTCGCCGTTACTCAGACTTTTATTACGCACGATCGTTCAGAACTGGAATAAACTGAAATTTTGCGCGTTGTTATCCGCTATCGGACTCAGACGTGCGAAGGTCGCTGCAACGGTACTTCATGATTGCACGGTAATAGCGGTGGCGTGGTGGTAGTGCGGTAGTGTCAATGACAGCAGTATGGCAGCGCCACGGCATGGAAGATCAGTGATTGACTGACGACTAACGTGAGCCGAAATAGCTCAGTTGGGAGAGCGTTAGACTGAAGATCTAAATGTCCCCGGTTCAATCCCGGGTTTCGGCAAGAGGGGGTAGATTTTTTTGCCAATCGACGAATTTTATAGCGAAAGGACGGAACGATTCGGTAATTTAGACTAGATTTAATTTTCGAGGTTAACAGTTTTCGACGGCAGTGTTCTTTTCTTCCTTTCGCCGAGTTTGCATTATTTTACGCGAATCAACGGGAGGGATAATTTCAGTTCACAGTGCTGAAATATGCCGCATGAATCACACAGTGTCGAAATGTTAATTTTCTTTTCTTTTTTTATTAACTTCGACGATATTTCAAGTACACATCTTGTATCTTTCGTATTACCCTTCGGTTCGTTCTTTGCTTATCGATGATTTATCAGATAGAATATCGATATCACGCATCAGACAGGCTTAGTCAGATTGAAGTTAACGTTTTGAAATACTGGCGATCAAGAGACACGGTAATGTCTCGAGCCAAGTGCGCGAAAACAAGCTCGAGTGGAGAGACAACACATTTACCCGAAATTATAGGAAGAAAACATGCGATTATCCATATTTTGTTCGCCCAATTGGATCGATATGCTGGGGAAATATCGAATCATATCGAGATTCTAGATGTACAGTGGCTATAATAAAAATCGCAATACTTTATTCGATGAGTTCCGCAGCGCGCCTTTGTATTCGATGTGAAAATGTATTTCTTGGCAATGATCAAAAAACGTACTTTCCTATTAGATTCCGAAAGCGTTGTAAAATTCATAAAAAAAAAAAAAAAACGTTTTATCACACTGAAAAATCCACCTAGTTGATTCAGAGAAAATTTGCTTTGGATGTGAACAAACAAATGTTTTGATTGGCGAGAAGCAAAATTTGGTTCTTGAAAAGGCAAATGAAGTTTAGTTTCAGAGAACCACACCTTCGGTTCGGAGAACGAAATTTTGGTCCCCACAGCCGAAACATTCGTTAGCCCATGTCCAAATCAAATTTTATTTGAGCAGAAATTAAACAGGGTTTTCAGTGTATGCCGACTGTACGGCAACTCTTAAGATGGGACTTGAGGATTTTGTGCGCCAAGTTACAGACAAGTTCAAGATAGCGATTCAAGGTTCTCGTGAGAAATCCAATACATCCGGCGATATCCTTCGGACACCGATATTTCGTAATGTTACCTTGAAAATCCGCCTTTGGCGCATCATGGGACATTGAACGCGCACTGGGAATATTTATCGGACGTCCGACGAATATATCCAGAAACATCATTGCGTATTGAAACGCCCTCGAATATTAATCGGAAATCCGGAGTATCACATTTGGCTGGGCTATGTCCGATACGCAAATCGATTGCATATTCATCCCGCGACCTCAAGTGTCCGCCGGAAGATCGAATATTATTGGATATTCCGAAGGGTGTGCATTCGTCGGACTCGAGTTCCGCGGCGGACGTAGACGGCGGACGTTCGATCGTCCTCCGGCGGTGCCGAGACCGGTGTCGAGCACCGGCGTCCTCGTGGTATCGCACGGACGGCAGCAACGAGGAACAGCACCGGAGGAGGCCCGTCGTCGTCGTCGCCGGCTCCGCGCGTCTCGAGCGTGCTTTCCATCGTCGAAAGAGTATGGCGGCGGTAATTCGAACGCGCGTCATACAGGCCCGCGGCCGGCGGCGCACGCGTTATGGCGTTTGATCGCGCGAGGCGGGGCGAGCGTCCGGAGTGTCGAGGTTGCACGGCAAAAAGCGCACGGGTCGCCCTCGTTATC